TGAAAGAGAGTCCTTGGAGGGAGAAGACTTGGAGGACAAGGAGATTGAAGCAATTCGAGTGTGGGAATTAACACACATCTCAGATATCAACTTCAAAAGGTATCCAAACCGTTATTCTCCTTATAAATCTTCTTGATTGGGCGAGTTTAGGGTTTTTCATTGAATATCAAGTTGGTATGATGAGCTATGGGCTAGATCTGAAGTTATAACTTCAGATCTGGACTCTCTTTGGATTATAGAAGCATAAAGTTGCAGCTTTATTCGTGATTGAGGTCCCCTTTATGCATAAAGACCCCTCAATAGCTTAGATTTGCTATTTTGAGCCCTTAAAGCCATGGATGCACGTAAAGTTTGAAACTTTACGTGATAAGCATGCCCTAGAAGATTAGATCTGTGATTTGGAGTCGTTGCATGGCTCAAAATAGATATGTATGGGAAGAGGACTGAATGGACTCGATGAGTCGCAGGGTCGACTCGGTGAGTCGCATGAAGATGGCCATTGAACTCAGCGAGTTGGTTGAACAACTTAGCGAGTCCAATGAAGATTGTTATAAGACTCGACGAGTTAAAGAACAAATCAGCGAGTTGGAAGAGTTTTAGCCAAGAATACGTTCACAAGTACATCTATCGAGTCGCAGGGGGAACTCGACGGGTGGCCTTAGGGTCCGATCGGGATTTGAAGGAACTCGCCGAGTCACCTCGATGACTTGGCGAGTTTGATGGTGCTTTAAGGGACTCGGCGAGTAGCTGGGTGTACTCGGCGAGTTGAGGTCAACATGGACTGTTGACCTTGGCTGACGACTTTGACATCCATCAGGGGTTAACTATTGGGTTACGGAGTACCTTACAAGGATAAAGGCTTATGCATACATTGATCTATGGTTATAGGTGGTGTGGTCGGTGTCGAGTGATCCAAGAGTTGGAGTTTACCTTACGAGTCGACATCTGCGAGGTGAGTTATCCTCAATATATTGATAGGGTCTACGGCACCAAAGCCGGCCCTTAGTTGTTATTGTTATGGTATGCTACATGTGGTTATCACCTGTTAGATAGGAATCGGGGTGGACAGTATGGTATGCGCTTATGATCCACAGGGATTGGTATGTTAGTGACCTGCTAGGTCGGTAATCTAGTTACTAGAGAATTTTATGACTTATGATAAATGTGACAGATATGTTTGATGTTTATATATGCCTGTATATGATAGTATGCACACATGGTTACTTGCTTGCGGATGGGTTGAGGTGGTCCTGCTTTGTGCTTAAGGCCAATATACCCTATGAGCGGTCCGGGGAAACTATAGGCCTATGTGGTGGACCAGTCATGCTGAAGGCTCGGGATAGATTCAGACAGACCATAGGCCCGGTAGGGCGGTCCAGTCGGGCCAATGGCCTAGTATGAATGTTGATTGATTAATTGTTACTGTTATGGTATTGTCAGTGTGGCGTTGGTATTTTGGGGGTAGCTCACTAAACTCTCGGGCTTACAGTTTCCAGTTTACTATTTCAGGTACTTCAGGACATCAGGGAAAGGCAAATATGTGACTGTATCGCTCCTCATCCTTTTGTTCTGATTTTTGGGACACTCTGATGGGAAAATGATTTGAAAACATTTTGTAAACAATGCAATGTGGTTTTATTATGATTGAAAAAGTTTAAAATTTTTGTGAATTTTATGGATGTTACACTAAGGATATAAAGACACAAAATGACTTAGCATTCATCCCTATTTTTACTTGGGGGATCAGACCTAAAACCCTAATAGGCCATGTCCATTCGCCCATATGCTCATGTAAGGTGATAACCAGTCATATTCTTCCATACGACATCTTCTCGAACATTCATCCATGTCATACAACCCTTGAGCCTCAGTAACACACATGATAGAGCACCTTGAGCAATAGTTGTGCAACAAGAACACTAGTGACCCATCATCCATCATGGTGTTACAACATGTTATATTCCTTGAGCATCACAAACTTCTGAGCATCATAGAGGAATTCATAGCATACATGGTTCATTAGGGATATCATGAATCATCAAGAAACCAAGGTGGTACATCTTGCACGAAGATGACGTAACATGTACGATGTTACCCCATCTTGTGTATGGATGGTGTAACATCCTTCATGCTTGGCTCAACATTTCCTAAAGGTAGCACAATTTCTCCTTGATTGATTAACTTCTTCACTTGTCTCAACATCCTCGCTTTGCTCAACATCTTTGCTTGGCTCAACATCTTTACTTGGCTCAACATCTTCATGGCTTAACATCTTCATGGCATAACATGTTGGAACATGTTTCTCCAAGTTGATACAAAACAATCTAAATTACTCCAAGCCACTCCTAGTTGCTCCAAACCCCCTTTATGATGATCCATTGCTTTGGCACTTGATCCTTCCTTTGTCAAATGATCCTAAGCCATCTCAGATAAGTTGTTCCTTTGTTACATGCTCCATGAACCTCAAGTGCTCTAGTTAGTTCTAAGTGATCCAAATGCTCCATGAGAATGTTCCAAGTGTTCAAGTCACGTTTAACAGTATATGATGAACACTCATATACATAATTGGTGTTAATTACAATTAATATCATCAATTATATTAAGTCTTACTAAATTTGAACTTAATATTGAATTATTTGATTTTTTGTCTGCTTGATCATTAAATAAATTATCTCATTAAATTAAAGGATTAGCACTTTGAACATAATTCTTATCATAATAGGAAGCGATATGAAATGAAACTTAAATCCGTTACACTATCCATAAAATCATCCATAGATAATAGTTGAATCATATCTAAACGAAAGTATTCTTTAATCTTGCCTTACAAATCATTTTTCTACCTAAGTTTAAGGTACCTTTTGTTTATTGCTATTAATTAAGTCGTATGAACTTGAAAAATCTCAAAACAATCCCCTTATTTACTTTATTTAAAGACAAATTGCAAAAATGGTCCCTGTGGTATGCATTTTTTGGGGTTTTGGTCCAAACCTTGACTTTTTTGGATTGACGGTCCTTTTGAGCTACTTTGTTTGTGGTTTTGATCCCTCGTAAAATTAAAAAGACAAAAATACCCTTTTGATACATTTTCTATGTTTTTTCTATTTAATATAAAGTTTTATTAATAAAAATTATGGGACCTACCTCTCTCTCTCTCTCTCTCTCTCTCCAGACAAACAAACACACATAAACACACACTAGCCTTCATTCCTTCTGATATGTATCTTAATCCCTCATTTCACTCGTCTTCATTCTCAGTCGCCCCATTTCACTCCGATCTGGGTCTTTAATCTATTATTCCATGGATCAGTTAAAAGAAGGAGAGTCAAACCCAAACCCACATCAATGCAATCTGAAATGGTTAGGACTTAGAACCCTAAATACGAACAGGGGGTTTTCCCATTGTTGAGTCTGGATGAAAAAAAATCCATGAATAACATAGATGATGAACAAGTGTCATCAAATAAATACCAGCAGGTGCTTTTCTTTTTTGCTAAGGTAAATGGAAAAACGATGGGGTGAAACGACAGGGTGAAAAATGATGATGAACATGGGTCATCACAAAAAATACCAGCAAGTGCCGCCATTATCAACCCCCACTGCAACTTCATCCGTTCTTGAAGAACAAAGGAAACATTCCACTAAAACTTCATCCATTTGATTCTTTCTATACCAACTTATTTGTTGAAATACCTATCGAGGACATATACCCAAAATACACCCAAAAACTGTTCCAGAAAGAAGTATTTGGGATTGAAACAACTATTTAGAATATATAGATTCAACTCAAGAACACGATGAGCAAATCTCGAGTTTCCAGTTTTGGGTTTTCTTTATTTGTAGGTGTGTATGGGGAAGATGATGAGCAAAAAAAGTTTAGAACCGGATGCTATGAATTGGAGATTCAATTAAGAACCATAAATGAAATATTTGGGTGTGAGATGTATGGAGCGATTTGGGGGATTTGGGGGATTTGGGGGATTTGAATGAGTGAGATTTGGTAACAAGATTGTTGCAGCTTCCATTGTTGTAGCATTTTTTTAGGATGCCTCCATTGTAAAGTGAATTGTCGAGAGAGAGAGAGAGAGAGAGAGAGAGAGGTGGGATCGGTTTTATATTTAATAATAATAATAATTTTAAATAGTGAAAGAAAAATGAAAAGTAAATTCATTAAGGGTATAATAGTTTTTTTAGTTTGGATAGGTACCAAAACTGCATGTAAACTAGTGAAAAAGGACCACCAATCCAAAAAAGTCGAGCTTTGGACTAAAACCTAAAAAAATGCATACCACAAGGACCATTTTTGCAATTTTGTCTTATTTAAATTAGTTAACTTTAGTAGAGATTTTAGCATCTAATCATTCTATTCCCCTTATGCTCAACATCTTTCTTACCTGAACTATTCTATTGGTTGATTTGGTACACTACCTATTGCAATTTAGCTAGTTAAGATTTGTTTGATTTATAAATTAAAAATTAGTATATATATATATATATATATATATATATATATATATATAGAGAGAGAGAGAGAGCTAGGTTCATGTATTTAAAGTAATTATTGTGTTATTGTATTCATAAAGATGGCCCAATCAAAACTTAAAATAAAAATAGATAATTAAATTAATAAATAAGGGTAAATAGGTAAATTGATAATTAGTTTCCACAAATAATATCCTATAATTATGGTAATTTGATATCAATCTCATATATTTATAGATGATAATTTTAGGGTTTCAATTTTTTCCAATTGACTTCTACCCAGAATCAAGATCAAAATCCCGATTTCTCAACATCAACACATCACTCATCAGCTTCGTGACATTCATCGTCCGTTGATACTCGATTGCCTGTCCGTCTTCACCGAATCACCGTGTCTGGTCGTCTTCACCGTCTCCGGTCATCTTCCTCATCTCCGTCTGCCGAGTGTCGAGTGCCGACTTGCTACTGCCTCCGATCAAGCCTCACCGACCCTCTTATCTTGATGAAAAAGCAAGCCTATGAAGCCCCTGCACCATGTCGATCTCGGCTACACCCATTTCGACCACAAACTGCCCTACCTAAGAACCCCTGCACAATGTAAAATGAGGTTACAAATCAGCGACTCTGATTTTGTTTATTTACATATTGCGGCTAGCAAGGGAGGCTATAAGTAGGCTTTTCGTGCTAACTCCTGCAATGTGGCAGCAATAGGCAAATGATGAAATTTCTCTCAGCTTGTCTTCTGGGCAGGCTATTGTTATGGCTGGAGTGTTGGGTATTTATGGTTTGATTATCTTTGTGATTATCAGTGCTGGAATTAACCCTAAGGCTAAATCCTATTACCTTTTCGATAGATATGCTCATCTTTCCTCTGGTCTTGCTTGTGGCCTTGCTGGTCTTTCTGCTGGTATGGCTATCGGAATCGTCGGTGATGTTGGTGTTAGGTAATTTCCTTCAATATCTCATTCTATACTTCTTTGTTATTGTTTTATTTTAATTACTTCAAACTTATATTTTCCACATTTCAGATTAGTATCCACATGACAATTTGTAAGATAACATGAACGTTTTATCATGAATCCATTAAAATTAATTCAATTTCTCATAAGTTTAAAGCTTTACCATACATACAGTTGACGTTCCAAGATTTTGATTTTTGTTCAAGTTCTTGTTTTCATACATTGCAGTTGCAACAAGACTACAACCCTTCATTCATCTCTAGTTTCTTGAAATCTTGGTAACTTGAATTTGTTTCTTCAGAGCCAATGCACAACAACCAAAACTATTTGTTGGGATGATCCTCATCCATATTTTTGCTGAAACTCTTGCCCTATATGGTTTCATTGTTGGCATCATTCTTTCTTCTCGTGCTGGTTAATCCAGAGCAGATTAGAAGGTATTCATTCTTTCCGATTTAACACTTCATTTATGTGGACAGTGTAGGATCTTGACAAGGTTGAATTCTGAAAAGGTATCAATTTTGTTTTTGTAGATGATTCCATGGTTGATATTTGTGAGATTCCAATTCTATCGGAATAGAATCACGAATTCCAATTTTCTTGGAATGCAAAATAGAGCCCAATTCTGTTGGAATCACAAAATTTGATGTTTGAAGAACGGACCACAAAATTGAAACGAACCACATTATTCTTTTAAAATGTATTAGTCGTTGTTAGATTTTGATGTTTTCTTTCCTGTTTTGAAAGTTTTTTTTTTTATTTTACTCTTAAACAATAAATGTAATTCTTAACAATTGTTACCCGAATTCTATAAGAAATAATGTATTTTTTGTTTTTATTCTACAATTGATTGTTCAAGAATTCATTATTCTACAAGAAGTTTTTAAATTCATGATCAAGAATTAGGTTCAAAAATATTTTTATTATTTATGGTTTGAGAATATTTTTATTTTTTGAATATACTCATAAACATATTCTGTCAGAATGTCCGAATTAAAAGAATTATAATTTATAAATCGGATTTCAAAAATTAATAGAATCTATGATCCCTTAAAAATGCAATTTTCCTTTATTAAATCTATATTAATTGACTAAATTACTCTTGTAATTAGATAAGATGATATTTTTCAATTATATTTAATTCAATAATATATAATAATCACTTTCTTAAAATAAGTAAATTTGATTGGCTCACATTTATGCATATAATAACACAGTAATTATTTTGAATAGAATAACCTAAGCATATATATATATATATATATATATATATATATATATATATATATATATATATATATATATATATATATATATATAAGTTCAAGTAAAAATAGGAAATAGTGTGAGAACGTAAAAACAATATGTTTATGTTATTATTCTATAATGAATGTTCTATATGTGTATTGTTGAAGTAATTTTAATATATATATATATATATATATATATATTAACGTTTGATTATTCATATATTCATTAGAATGTTATGGTACTATTATAAATTTATGTATGTACATTTTTGTATTAAATTCTAATTTTAGTTTTAACATGTGACTATTTACTAATTCATTGTTCAATAATGACATAAAACAAGACTACAACCCATCATTCATATCTAGTTTCTTGAAATCTTGGTAACTTGAATTCGTTTCTTCAGAGCCAATGCACAACCAAAACTATTTGTTGGGATGATCCTCATCCTCATTTTTGCTGCAACTCTTGCCCTATATGGTTTCATTTTTGGTATCATTCTTTCTTCTCGTGCTGGTCAATCCACAGCAGATTCGAAGGTATTCATTCTTTCTGATTTAACACTTCATTTATGTGGACAGTGCAGAATTTTGACAATGTTGAATTCTGATAAGGTATTAAGTTTGTTTTTGTAGATGATTCAATGGTTAATATTTGTGAGATTCCAATTCTATTGGAATAGAATCACGAATTCCAATTCTGTTGGAATGCAAAACGGAAGCCCAATTCTGTTGGAATCACATAATTTGATGTTTGAAGAACGGACCACAAAATTGAAACGGACGACATTATTCTTTTAGAATGCATTAGTCGTTGTTAGATTTTGATGTTTTCTTTCCCTTTTTGAAAGTTTTTTTGTTTTATTCTTTAACAATAAATGTAATTATTAATAATTGTTACCTGAATTCTATAAGAAATAATATATTTTTTGTTTTTATTCTACAATTGACTGTTCAAGAATTTGTTATTCTACAAGAAGTTTTTAAATTCATGATCAAGAATTACGTTTAAGAATACTTTTATTATTTATGGTTTGAGAATATTTTTATTTTTTGAATATACTCATAAACATATTCTTTAAGAATGTCCGAATTAAAAGAATTACAATTCATAAAATTGGATTTTTAAAATTAATATAATCTATGATCCCTTAAACAAAATGCAATTTTCCTTTATTAAATCTATATTAATTGACTAAATTACCCTTGTAATTAATTAAGATGATATTTTACAATTATATTTATTTCAATAATATATATTAATCACTTTCTTAAAATAAGTAAATTTGATTAGCCCACATTTATGCATATAATAACATAATAATTATTTTGAATATAATAACCTAAGCCTATATATATATATATATATATATATATATATATATATATATATATATATATATATATATATATATGTGTGTGTGTGTGTGTGTGTGTGTGTGTGTAACAGCTGGATTTCCAGGTATCTTTTATGTTTATGATTTTGGTGTTCTGAGAGGGGACTCGGCGAGTTGGAGCTTAGACTCGCCGAGTAGGATCGCGGATCTGGTAGCGGGATCGCGCCTGGACTCGGCGAGTCCGCGCTGTGTAATGAAACCCTAATTTCTCGGGTTTGGGACCTATTTAAAGAGCCTTATGGTCGTCATTTGTGCTCACCAGTCCCTTGAGTGAAACTCTAATCGAGTGTGAGCGTTTGGAGCAAAGTAGGAGGCCATTATTGATCTTGGAGGTGTCATTTTTGCAAGGAAAGGGAGAACCAGCTAAGGGAAAGCAAGTGGAGCCATTTTCTGAGAGTTTGGAGTCCAGAGAATCACTATTGTGGTAATAATTTCGAGCTATCCTTTTCCATGATGATGTTTATTTTGATTTAGGGTTTGTTGAACCCTCTTGTGGCTAGATCTAGTGCTCCCTTGGTCCCTGAAGTGATTTAAAACATAGATCTGGACCCTTGGAGGTCCAGAGTGTCCCTTTGCCCAAGCTTTTTGGGAATCAATGGAGGTTTTGGATTGGAATCCTTATGCTTTAGGTCAAAATGCTATTTATGAGCCATGGGGTGTGTTATGGACACCAAGCTAGGGGCTTTACGTGGTGAATCAGTCTAGGATGGCCAGATCTATAAATTGTGGAAGCAGATCTGACCTTAGAAGCAAGTTGGAGTGGTTGCATGGCATGGACTCGCCGAGTCCGATGAACAGACTCGGCGAGTAGTTTGAAGATTGCCTTGAGTTCGCTCAGTGAGTGGTCCAGTCGAGTCATAGGTTGACTCAGTGAGTCAGGGTGATTACTCGACGTGTAGGAAGGGAATTCTAGAGAGTTGGTGAAAACGTCTAGACTCGCTGAGTAGCCATAGCGCACTAGCCGAGTCCGGTCAAAGTTGACCATTGACCGTTGACCGGAGTTGACCTGTGCTGACTTCTTAGGGATAGTCAACCTTAGAGATATAAAGTGTTAATCAGAGATATATGATGTTATAGGAGGATTAGAGCTCGGAGGATCGAGTACGAGGGATTTCCAGGATTCGTGAGATACCGAGATACGCGAGGTGAGTCTTCTCACTATACTTTACCTTTAGTAGGTAACCAGAGTTATGTGATAGAGTATTTGTATCCTATGTATGTTATGTGTTGTACTGCATTATTTCTATGTGATTTATGTGGTGCATGTTTATCAGAGTTAGAACCTGAGGGTTCACAGAGTTTGGGTGCACGGACCCACAGAGTTATAGCCTCGAGTGGCTAATATGTGTTATATATGGTATTTTGGGGAACTCACTAAGCTTTGTGCTTACATTGTTTGATGTTATTGTTTCAGGTACTAGTGACGACCGCGGGAAGGCGCCGGCTTGATCCGTACACACACACGGAGTTTATACATTTGTGATCTTGGGATTTTGTATTGACTTGATTTGGATAATTAATATGGTTGTTTTATGAATATTAATTGAATTATGTTTTACGAAAATTTGAAAAATTTGTTTTGAAATTCACGGTGTTACAATTTGGTATCAGAGCCTTGGTTTGAGGGATTCGGGTACACCTTCGGGAGTATTTGAACTCAAACTGAGGATTTGGAAAGATATTTTCAAAAGAAAACTTAACTTTTCTAAGAGTAAAAGATTTTCTTGAAAAAGAAACAAATTCAAGGAAGAAACGTGTGTACGATCAGTCAGCGCCCGAATGGTAAATTCCCAAAATACCTTTATATTATGTAATATTGATATTGATATGATGTATCTGCATGCTAGAGTAGGCTAGGTATTGCTATTAGGACTAGAGTGGTCTCATTTTCTGATGCCTTAGCCTAGGGAGAGGTGAGTTGCTATGAGATGCCTGAGAGTGAGTAGGTAACAGCGAGGGGCTTATGAGAGATCTAATAGAGAGTGGTCTACACATGATAGAGTACTTGGGATTTGGGATCCAAAGAGGAAGATTTGGGGTGTGTACTGAGACAGTGTGGACAGTAGTATCGGGCCCGTACTGCTGAGAGCACCGGGGCGGTGCACGGTCCAAATAAGAATCTTTGGAATACCAAGAATCAAGGAGGGATGGATTGTCGAGTGTGAGTATGCTTGAGTGGATTCTAATTTATCATATGTTATATTTCAGAGGTTGATCATGGTGAGGACACGTCGTATGCCGGAGGGTGTCGGGGCTAGTGATGAGGAGATCCGGCAGATCATTCATGAGGAGGTGGCTGCGGTCATCAGAGCAGAGATACCAGAGATGTTCGGGTCTATTAAGACTGCACTGATTGAGACGTTTGACGAGCGTTATGCCGCTCTTTCTGAGGCTGCAGTTGCAGCGGCTACCGTAGCGATCGCTGCGGCGAGACCCTAGGGAAGTGATGCGTTGCTGTTTTGGGAGTTCAGCAACACCAAACCACCAGAGTTTGATGGGACACAGGATCCGGTGGCAGCTATGAGGTGGATATCTGATATAGAGGGGTGCTTCTTCACTTGCTCATCTCCTGAGCATCTGAAGGTTCGGTTCGCGCTGAACCAGCTTCGCTCGGGAGCGAAGGACTGGTGGAAGTTTGTGACGGCGCATTATACACCTGCTGAGCTTTCGGCGGTGACCTGGGAGAGGTTCACTACCATGTACCGGGATGAGTATGTTCCCCAGGTGGAGAGGGAGCGTTTGGCACATGAGTTTCTGACCCTCAAGCAGGGTACTGAGTCAGTTACAACGATCACGAGGATGTTCCATGAGAGGGTGATGTTTTGCCCTGAGCACATGTCCACTGAGCAGGCACGTATGAGCCGCTACTTGAGCATTTTGAGACGGGATATTCGGGAGTTCGCCGCGAACTCCCCGTACCGGACATTTGCTGAGCTTCAGGAAAATGCCCGGAAGAGGGAGATTGAGCTTGAGACTCAGGCCAGGGAGGAGGCGGAGTCTCAGGGGAGGGATCGGCGACTGGCACAGTCTCAACCGGCAGCCAAGCGGGCCAAGCCCGCTGATCCCAAACCAGGGAGTCAGAAGGGCCGCACTTGCGGGAAGTGCGACAAGGGTCATGATGGAGTCTGTCGAGCGGGATCTTGCTACAAATGTGGCAAGGAGGGGCATATGGCCAAGGACTGCCCCAAGGGGTTTGCATTGTGTTTTCACTGCAACCAGACCGGACACCGGAAGGCGGAGTGTCAGAAGTTTCGCGGAGCATCTCAGGGATCTGCTCCTGCCGCCATCAGAGCTACAGAGAGTCGGCCTGTGAAGGTCGAGGCGTCGAGAGCTCGAGGGAGAGCCTTTCAGCTGACTGCGGAGGAGGTCCGCACCGCACCCGATGTTGTGGCTGGTACGTTTCCTTCCATGTATTTATTTTGATGTTGAGATATTATGCTTATATTATGTTATGCGCAGGTACCTTCCTTGTGAACTCTATACCTACTTTAGTGTTATTTGACTCGGGTGCGAGTCGGTCTTTTATATCTTTGGCCTTTAGTTAGCATATCAGTGTTAGTCATAAGGCATTGAGTCGGCCTCTGAGGGTTTCCATAGCTGCCGATAAAGTGATTTGTGCCATGGAGGTTCTCTGGGGATGTGTGTTAGAGATTTTTGGGGTTGAGTTTCCGATTGATCTGATTCCTATTGCGATGGGTGATGTCTGTGTCATTGTGGGCATGGACTGGTTGAGCCGATTCGGCGCGGTTATTGACTGTGAGCGTCAGCTAGTGACCATACGAGACCCTAGTGGGGGAGTTCTTTCAGTGTACGGCGAGGGTACATGTTCCGGATCAGCCTTTTGTTCGGCCGCTAGGGCGAGGCAATGTCTACAGCAGGGCTGTAAGGGTTCTGTGGCATATGTGATGGATACACGGGTGGCTTCCGAGAGACCGAGTTCAGTGGAGGAGGTTTCGGTGGTGCGTGAGTTTCTAGATGTTTTTCCCGAGGAGTTACCGGGTGTGCCTCCCATGAGGCAAGTAGAGTTCAGTATTGATTTGGTTCCGGGGGCCGCGCCTATCGCTAAGGTGCCTTATCGTCTTGCACCTCCAGAGATGCAAGAGTTATCCTCGCAGCTTCAGGAGCTGCTGGGGAAGGGGTTTATTCGACCGAGTAGCTCGCCATGGGGAGCGCCCATTCTGTTTGTAAAGAAGAAGGACGGTTCACATCGAATGTGTATTGATTACCGAGAATTAAACAAGCTGACGGTCAAGAACTGTTACCCGTTGCCGAGGATCAACGATTTATTCGATCGGTTACAGGGAGCATCTTGGTTCTCCAAGATCGATTTGAGGTCGGGCTATCATCAGGTGAGAGTGCGGGAAGAGGACGTCCAGAAGACAGCGTTCAGAATGCGATATGGGC